GGAGGGACAGCTGCAGGAGAGCCAGAAGAAAGAGGCACATACACAAGCCAAGCTGACGGTAACACACACACACGCACACAGACACTGACACACACACACGCGTGCACAGACACACACACACACACACACACGCACACGCACACACACACACACACACACACACACACGCGCGTGCACACGCACCGTGCACACGCACAGACACACGCACCCTGAAGAGGCTGAGAATAGTGAGTCAGTGTTTCACTTCATTTAATTATTCATTAGCTGAGCTGTGGGTATATAGAGAACTCCATACATTTTTAAACAACATTTGAATGTGTCATATGCCAGTGTAAGATTTTGCTAACAAAGGAATGATAAAAATAATAAGTAAATGCCACATTGCACAGATTGTTAAGTTCCTTAACAGCTTGTAACGTTAGCATTAAATGCTGCCTTTATTTGTGGCTTGTTGGCCTTTGGTTTGTTGCTATGTCGAAACTGTTCATGTGGAGCTGTGATTACAGAGCTATCACAGATTATTTTGTTACTTATCTGGAAGTCGACCATGCCAAGATACCAAGAGCAAACATTTTAATGACATTTTCCACAGATTGATACTCATTAGTGGATTAGCTTTAAACTGATCACAAGAAATTATGTTTTATCATGAACATGCATCTGGTAGACTTGCTGTGTTTGAGTTTAATGAAACATGTTGTGTTGTTATGTAACACAAAGGTTCGACTGAGAACTGAGCACTCCATGTAGTCTGATCATTTCCCTGGAATCAACCCACCTGCTTTGTATGTCTACCCTCTTAGGAAGCGCTGCGTGAGGCCGAGGGTGTGGCCGTTAGTCTGGAGCAGAGCAGGAAGAGAGAGCGCGCTCTGGAGGAGGAGGGGAGGAGGCTGGCAGAGGAGCGAGCCGACGCCCTTCGTCTCCTCAAAGAGCTGCAGGGTGAGGAAGGACATATCCCTAAGAGTTATCAGTTAAATAACTTCTGCATTAGCATTATCATTTTGATAAGGCGGTTAGATGTATTATTCACACATTTTCTAGGTTTAACTCCAGCTTCTATAATAAGCTTTTATTAACTGTGTAACCAGAACACAGACACACAAATGTCCTCATTGAAACCACACACCTTGATCCCAAAGCCATTACAGCATAAATCATGTATTTTGTCAGGCTTTCAATCTATATCACTCACTTCATAATTGCAGTTTTTACAAATGTTCCCCAGATTTGACCTTTTTCCATGTTTTGTATATCTGGTTTATTGCTCAACAGTTTTTGAATGAATGAAAATCAAAAGTATTTTCAATTATTTTGGAGTTTTTTTCTCATAAAAACAACATTTGCATTATTTTAACAGACTGAGGAATGATGTTGGTTAAAGGCTTTAACATGAAAAACAATTGTATTTATATATTTTTTATCCTCCAAGCAATCTTCCCTAAAGTTAGGGACTAGGGTCAAGTCCACGAGTCCTAAGGAGTGCTTGATATTGTTGGTTTTGCTGTGTAAAATGCACCCATCTTGTAAAATCTCCACAAATGCGGAAGTCTCTCTTCCCAGCGCTGCCCCCTGCTGACCAATGAAACACCATCCATGTAAAAGAATCAAAACAAAATAACTATTCCAGCAATGCACACATGTTCATTGCTTTTTTCTCCTGCCTGTTATTTCTTGATGTGTATTGTTGTTTGCTGTTATTTATTTATTTTTAATCCGATTTTTTAACTCTTTTAACTCCAGAGGAAAAAGCTGTCCAGGCACCCGTCCACCAACCCGTCCAGTTTTGCCCTGTTGGACAGAGTTTCTCTCCTCACCCCTCTTACTCTCCACATTCTGATCCACCAACTCACATCAAGAGGCCCCGCGCTGCCACCTTAGCCGAGCAGAAGAGGGAGGAGGACCTGGATTTGGAAAAGAGAAGGGCTGAGATCGCAGCATCTTACCCCGCGGACAGAGAGCCGGGCGAAGGCAGAGATGCAGAACACATCACTGACCGCCTCTCCCCTGACTCTGAGTCCTTTCACAGGGGGGGGGAACACAGAGGAAACAGTAGTGAGGAGAACAACAGTAGAAATGAAGTGATAAAGAGTGACAGCACTGGGACAAACAAGCACTCCACATTTGATGAAGCCCTCTCTAGTTCCTCTCCCTCTGTTGCTGGTACGCCCACTAACATATCCATGGATGTTGATCAATGCAGTTTGAACCTTTGTGCTGAAGAAACTCCTTCCTCACTCAAGCCCTCTGAAGATCTCAAGAGGGAGAATGCCTCACTGCGGTCAGAGCTACAGGACGCAGAGGAGGAACTGCAGAAACGACTTGAGGACCTGGAAGCTCAAAGACGGGCGGAGACAGAAGCCAGGACCCGGCTGAAACAACTCGGCCGCAAACTTGCCGGCCAGACTGCAGAGAAGGACGAGCAGGAGAAGCAGTGGAGGGCTCAGCTGGAGAGTGAGAAGGAGGAGACTGAGAGGTTGAGGAAGGCCATGGCTGCTTTGGAGACGGAGGTGACAAGAGGGAGAGAGGAAACGGAAAGGAAGGAGATCAAGGAACCGGAGGAGGGGAAAAACAAAGCACTAGAAGACCGGGAGAGTGAAATGATAGAACTTAATATCCAGCTAAAGAAACAGCTCGGGGAGGTTAAAGCCCAGCTGGCTTTAGAACGAGAAGAGAGAGGAAGAGAGGAAGATGAGAGAAGGCAAAGGACAGAGACAGACCAGGAGCAGCTGGAACAACTTCAAGCTGAGCTGGAGGAACTGAAGCTCAGCAGAGAAGAAGACTCGCTGGGAGAGGACAAACTCTCAGTTGCCAACAGCCCACTGACTTACCTGTCTCTCCGTGACGATGAGTTCAACTCCAACATCGATCGCTGCGACAACAAGCTCCTCCCCTCCCCGGAGCAGCACCTCCTCTTCTGCCAGTCCACCAACCAGCGCAACATGCTGGCGTCTCAGGCCTCAGGCGGTCTCATGACCCAGGGGGATCAAACAGTGATAGAGTCTGTACACTCACCTCTGTCCAACGAGGGGCACACCGCCTCTGACCGTGAAGACCACCAGCAAAACTATCTGAGAGGGTCTTCCCCGTCAGACCAATCCCTTTCTGATCTGCAGGAGGTTGAGACCACCTCTTCAGATGTTGCTAAAGAGGTGGAGTGCCTGCAGAAGGAGGCTGCAAAGGAGACAGAACGTGCAAATCAGTACCAGGTTAAACTGGAGGCGCTGCAGAGCCAGGTATGTCACGGTGGATACCATACATCATATTTACTACGTTAAGTTTGTTAGGCCAAGGTCAAACAATGGATATGGAGAATATATAAATAAAACTGTTATTAACTAAATCACAACACTTTAGCCCTCAATAGACTCAATCCTATAGATGAGAGTAACACCTACGTCACTTCCGGGAAAAAAATGACGGCCCCGCCCACTTTTGGAGGAAAACAACGCTGTCATTTGAATGGCGGTCAATACAGATTCTGAAGTTTTTGCCAATCCGATCAGAAATGAAAGAAAACCGTGGATTTTTGGATCTTCAAAGAGCTCGATTATGATGACCAGACAGGCAAACAATTACATTAAATCATTTGCGATCGGGCTCGATATATGGTTAAATTAAAATCAGTAGGCGAGGCCGTAATTTCTCCAGCTGTTACTCTCATGAGCAAAGTGGAAAATAATAGTTTTATCATGCCAAAAAGCTGCTGTGTCATTTATTGCTCCTCAAACATTAAAACAAATCCAGAGTTCAGTGTTTCTGATGTTCCTCTAAGAAAAAAGGACAGTATAAGAAGAGCTCTGTGGCTTCAGGCTCGATCGCCGTTCAAATGACAGCTTTGTTTACCCCAAAAGTGGGCGGAGCCGTAAAGTGACGTAGATGTTACTCTCATCTATGGACATCGATCGCCTACTGCTATATTTAACCATATATCAAGCCCACTCGTCGATTTCCAATGGCTTAATATAATTGTTTGCCTGTCTGGCCATTGGAATCGGGCTCTTTGAAGATCCAAAAATCCACGGTTTTCTTACATTTCTGATCAGATTGGTCCTTGATATTGTTGGCGCTTGGTACTGTTGGTGCTTGGTACTGTTGGTAATTGGTACTGTCAGTGCTTGGTACTGTTGGTACTTGGTACTGTCGGTGCTTGGTACTGTCGGTGCTTGGTACTGTCGGTGCTTGGTACGGTCGGTGCTTGATACGGTCGGTGCTTGGTTCTGTCGGTGCTTGGTACTGTCGGTACTTGGTACTGTCGGTGCTTTGTACTGTCGGTGCTTTGTACTGTCGGTACTTGGTACTGTCGGTGCTTTGTACTGTCGGTACTTGGATACTGTCGGTGCTTGGCACTGTCGGTACTTGGCACTGTTGGTACTTGATACTGTTGGTACTTGTCAATGTCTCTAGGTATGTAAATGTAGCCCTGTAAATACGATGTCCTTTTGTTTTATCTGTTGTTTTCTGTTCGTGTTGTAACCTACTTGCGGCCATGTTGGACAGGTCTCCCTTGAAAAAGAGATCATGATCTCAATGGGACCACCTGGTTGAATAAAGGTTTAAAAAAACATAATAACAAATGAGGAACATAATTAAAAACAAGGTATCACTGAACCATAAAACAATAAAACATGAACAGTAATACTACTGAAAAATTACAATTGCTCCAAATTATAAGCCACATTTAAAAAAAGATAATATATTATTTACTTTGAGGTTGCTGTTCTCAAATGGGAGGCTGTGCACCCGGTGAGGTTACAGACAGAAGTCATTAAAATAATAGCATTCACTTCCTATTGTAGTTAGTTGTACCATTATACAGCGAATGGAAACAAAAACTTTAGCATTCTTTGGCTTGCCTTTTTGAAGTTGTGCTGTGTTAGCTGTTCTAAAACACAGTAACACCCTGGCTTTAGTGGCTTCTTTCCTGTTTTCTAATAAACCTTTTCTCCTTTCGTCTGCCCTTTTTATTATATTCTTCTCAGGTGACACGTCAGACAAAGCAGCTCACCATGGCCTTTGAGAATCAGAGCCAGCACATCTCTGGTCTGTTAGCTGAGCTGCAGGAGAAGGACAGCGCCCTCCTCAGCCAGGGAGAGGAACTGCAGCAACACAAGCAAGAGCTGGACGTGCTCAAGACCCACTCTGAGGAGAAGAAAAGAGAAGGGATGACGGTCAAAGAGGTGGAGCACGGAGAACAAAAAGAGACACAAGTTGTGAGGTTGATTCAGTCACATCAGGAAAATGTGCTCAAGACAAACTCAGCTAAAGACGGTGTCTCTGAGAGAGACGCAGGTCAACTAGAGAGTGTGACTCAGATTAACCAAGACTCTGCTTGTGTGATGGGTGAGACTCAAGGTGGAAGAACAGCAGATGTGAATGCAGAACAGCTCGCATTATTGGCCAATCAGCAGCTGAGACTAGAAGGAGTGAGTATCTCAGACTCCAGGGCCCCAGCTGCACACACTGACAGTGAAAACAAACACGACTCAGTTAAACAAAGCCAAGACACAGGAAATGCTGCTGTGTGCTGCTTGGAGGAACAGAGGTCACCTAGTGTGCCGACTGACATCAGCTCTGACGCACGCCAGCAGGATGTTAGCGGGAGGGGAGATGAAGGTGGAGACTCAGAACGGGAAGATGGGAGGACTTCAAAGGCTGAAGAGGAGCAGGAGGCAGAGCTTCAGATCGACCGACTGTATCAACAGGTAGTGACCGAGTTCTACCGCCAGACACTAAACTGAGACATATATAACTGAAGAACAGAGACAGAAATAGTTCAAGTTAATGAAGTATAAAAGATTAAGTACGATAATTAAAACAGTTTATTCAGAATTATTTGTTTTGACACCAACATAAACTCTTTCCTAGTTCCTACATTACCTTGGAAGTATTGATCATGGATGTATAATAAGAACTGGATACAGAGTGGGAGGCGGGGTCTCGTTCTTTCCTATGAGAGCTGCTCATTGGCGCAGGAAGACAAAATGGCCCAACTTTTGAGAGAGCGAAACGTCACAGATGACCCATCATGCCTGGCTGCCAGAGCAGAAGAACCCGTATGTGCGCTCATAGAGCATGCGCCCCTTAAGCCCCGCCCCCCGAGCTCCCACTCTCGGCTCACTAGAATGAATGGAGAGAGAAAATAAATCTAGATTCGGCTTTTAGTGCATTTGACAACTTTAAGGACCGAATGATTCTAATAAGGGCTATAAAATAGTTCATACTGGGTAGTTTATTTAGTTTAAAAAAATGTATCCACCGATTTACAGACGTCTCTTTCCCAATGTTAGTCAATGTGGAAAAGTTGTTTTGGGCCGGGTGACGCCACGGACTGATACGGGAGTTGCAGTACCGCCGTTTGGACACAACGAATGTTGGCACAGAGTCCGGCGCACTTCCTGGGGGCTTGGTATTGACGTGTATATATTTTGTTCCTGTGTTTCCAAAGTGAGTAGTATGTGATTCCTTGTGTCCTGTGCTTCCCCTCCTGTCCAGGTGGAGGAGCTACAGAGGAGGCTGCGCTCTCTCTCCGCAGAGACCCAGCAGCAGTCCCAGGAGCTCGTCATGTGGAGACTTGCCTCCAAACCAGCCCCAACACTCGACCAGACCCTTCCCAACACAGACAACCAGTCTGAGACCCCAGAACAGATTCCTGCTGTCAGACGGTCCCAGGCAGACCAGCAGCCGGGGGATGAGATGACCCCGGGCCCGGCGCCTCCCCTGGGTCTGCAGGAGAGCCCCGAATATGTGACAGTCATCAGAGAAGACGAGTTACTCCTTTCCTGCTCCTCCAACAAGCTGCAGGGCCGCATGCTGTTCTCCAGGTAACACACTCACTCTCTCAGAGCTACAGAAACTATATAAATATATGGCATTAACTTACAGGAAACTGTTAAATGCATATCTTTAGGCTGTCTGTATTTAAGCCTCTGTTTTCCCTTGTTCATGCTTTGATTACATGTTTTTGCTGTTTTACCAAAAGACTTCAGCACAGCAACCTGCCCGAACCCAAGAGCCTCCATCCCTCCAAAAACACTGCAGAGCTTCTTCAAAACAATCGGGACACTGACACCATCGACAAGGTTAGTTTCCCTTTAAGGATGACTCACTGCCATACCAGTCCACTGCTAAGGTTAAAGGTAGGGTAGGTAAGAATGGAGAAACCAGCTCGAGTGCGCTAGAATTTAAAAGTACACAATCGAAGAAAATCTGCCCCTTCTTCAGACTTCCTTACAGAGCCCCTCCTCCAACAC